ACTGCCCATGTTCGGGAACTCGCCCTTCATGATCAACGTAGCCAGTGGTGGACGCGCGTCCACACGGTGCTCGCTGGAGTCCTCAGGCACCAGCGCAGGGACAACGGCCAGCGCCAGCAGCAGGAGTACGGCAAGGCTAGTACCCTCCTTCGGCAGTCCAGGCCTGAAGGGGTGCACAATCTACTGAATGCGGGTCGCGAGGCCCCGTGGGGCCAGTGGCTGGCAGTCCTCGGTGACCCGAGTCGGACCCCAGCGCTGGAGAACTATGTCATTGCAGCAAAGCGTGTGGCCAGCAGAGCTCAGCGCGCGGCAGTTCACGAGTCGATCTCCAACTTTAAGACCTTTGTGATGCAGCCAGAGGCCGTGGGCATCCTCCACAAGTCGCTGAAGGTGAACCCACTACCACCGAGCGAGCTGGAGGTGGGGGATCGCACCCTCGTTCATCCAGCCGACATCATGGAGCATAAAGCGGTGACCTTCAAGCGGATGTGGGCTCCACGGCCCCCTGACGTCAGCGAGATTACGGAAGTGTTTCGACTCATTCGAGAAGCGGCCCAGGGTGACGATCTCCCTGAGCTTATCCCAGACCTGGTCTACGCCAGCGCCAAGGCCATGAAGGCTAAGGCAGGGCTGGGGGTGGATGTTCTGAGCCCAGTCGACTTCCAACGCCTCCCTCGTGAGGCCATGGAGGAATTTACTGACATTTTGAAGAATGCAGAAGCCTTGCTCGCTTGGCCAGCTCAGACACAGCTCATCGTGACCTTCTTGACTCCCAAGAAATCCCAGGGCGACAGAGGCATAGGTATGATACCTATGATAGGCCGCCTTTGGTCACACGTTCGGGAACCTATAGTTAAGCAATGGAGCAAAGATGAAGAACAGGCATGGGATGCCGCAGTCTCTGGGAACAGTTGTTTACGCGAAGCATATCTTCATGCCATTGATGAAGAGGTAGCGCACTGAATGCGAATGGAATTTGGTCAAGGACTGCTTGACATTCAGGAATTTTATGATTCAATACCTTGGCTGCCCCTGGCGAAGGCGGCCTTGAGGCTCCATTTCCCACCAGTCATTTTATATTTGGAGCTTCTTCAGTGCATCACGATGCGGACGTTATCCCAGGAGGGAGCAGTGTGCACCCCCTTCGAGCCCTGCCAGTCAGTCATCCAGGGGCTGCGAGGGGGAACCAGATTCGCCAAGATCCTCACCCACTTTGTGATGCAGGTGGTGGTTACGGCGACACCCAGGATGAACCACCGCGTTTGGATAGACGATATCTGCCAGAAGATCACGGGCTCACGCCAGGCAGTAAGGGCTAACCTCATACGCGGAGTTGTGAAGGCGGGCCAAGAACTAGCCAAGGTAGGCCTCAAGTTGGCCAAGAAGTCAGTCGTCATGTGCACGAACGCCGCTGACGCTCGTGCTGTAGCTCGGGCTGCCAAGCTCAAGGGTTTCCCAGTCAGGGCTATGGCGCAAGCGCCGTACCTGGGGGTGGACTTCAGCTGCGGCAAGCAGGGCCGTGCTACCAGGACGCAGAGACAGATCAAACACGGAGCGATGAACGAGAAGGTGAAGATATTCAGCCGAGCTACTCGGCGGTACGGGATCACGACGCGGCTGGAGCGCAACGGCTGCCAACCTGCGGGCTCTTACGGCTTCGAGGTGCACGGGATGTTCGGCCACCAGCTGACCACCCACCGCCGTCGACTCGGTCAGATCTGCGCAGCTGCTACGAGAGGCCGATGCCTCACTACCCTTCTGGACCTGAGAGCGCCAGGAGGGGACCCTGCAGTGGCGATACCAGCCAGGACCGTGGACATGTGGCTTAGCGTCTGGCAGCAACAGCCAGGTCTGCGCCAACGAGTACGACAAGTCTGGCATCATGTCCGAGACCATCTGTCACAGCTGGACCCCCAACACCAGGTGCGTGCAGTTCGTGGCCCTGTGTCAGCAGTGATCCTCACCCTCCTCCGCATCAATTGGAACCCTGAGGATGTGGACACGTGGTCGTACACCACGCCCACGGGGTCGGAGGAATGGCAATTCCCAGACGCCATATATACGGGCAATAAGTTTCTGGACACACACCGTGAATTGTTGAAGGATGTACGTCAGTCGGCAGCCCAGGTGGTGTGGACCACGGCAGCCAAACACTACTGCGGAGGTGGAGTCGAGCATGGAGTTGACAATCGGTCATTTCGGCTGTTGCTCAAACAAGTTGGGCAACTCCCTCACGGCGTGCGCCTCACTGAGTTGATGATCAATATTGCTACTGGTGGATATTGGACGCGACAGAGGCGCTATGATGAACTGAAGGGTTATAAGGGCAGCAACATGTGTGACCGCTGCCGAGAAGCACCAGAAACGGCCAAGCACAGATTCTGGCAGTGCAGCAAGAACGTGTCGGCCACGCCCTATACTCGCTCAGAGTCTTTGGTTCCAGCCGCGCTGGCCCAGACGGACGCCACCGAGTGTTTCTGGCTACGCGGGTTGCTACCGAGCCAGTGGACCCAGACCCCGCCCCCACCGAAGGACACGGTCCTGGAGTTCACGGGCATCAACGAGCTCTCCGAAGGGATCTTCGGGGCGGGGAGCGCTGAGTCACCAGTCGAGATACTCGGTGACGCCAGTGGAGGACCAGATGCGAGCATCAGTGATTTCATGCGGATCGGAGTTGCCATAGTATGTGTAGCCAGCCTGCTGCCCGAGATCAACCTACATGGTGCAGTCTTCGGCCAGCTTGGAGGCCCGCGCCAAGTGGTGGCGAGAGGGGAGCTCTACTCCCTGTACCCCGCGATCTGGTGCACGACCAGGTACCTCACCTACGTGACGGACTGCGAGTACGTTGCGGCGGGCTGGTACTCCCAAGCCTACCTGAACCCAACAGGCGAGGACGCCGACCTTTGGAAGCTCATCGGGGACCTGATGAGCCCACGCCGCCACGCCGAGGTGACGGTACTCTGGACGCCGTCCCACAGCACGGCTCAGGACGTTGCCGCCCAGAAGGTGAACAGGTACCTTGTCATCGGCAACCTGCTCGCCGACGAGTTCGCGGGCTGTGCAGCGGCCAGAGCCAGGCTGCCCGCCGAGGTCCGTCAACCCATCCTGCTGGCTGAGCGGAGGGCGTACCTCGTCCGCCTGAGGCTCCTCCGAGCCACGCTGGATAGCATGGCTGCCAGCCAGGAGGCTGAGAGAAGGGAAAGGGATGCCACCCGAGGCCCTGGGGGCCCTTCTGAGGTCCCGCCTCCTCCCGCTCCTCCTCCTCCTCCGCCTCCCTCAGCTGCTGCTGTTGCTGCCCTCATGTCCAGGCACCGTCTGGCCGACTGCGGCCGACGTTGCCTCTCCTGTTTCTGTTCTGCATCCCTCGCTACCGCTCAGGAATTCGTCGAATCTGAATGTCCTAGGCTGTACAATGTCGATGGGGTTGTGTTTTCGCCATTAAAGGGGTCGCGAGTTCATATCGCGGGGGGTTGGGCCCACTCTACGCATACCCTGAATGTTCACCCGACCCTTCAGATTTGGTTTTGCACAGAGTGTGGGGGAATCGCGGATAAGGCTCTGCGATCTCTTAAGGGCCCCTGTAGTAAGAGGAAGTCCGCCACGGGGCAAGAGTACCTTGACAGAATTGCACGGGGGTTACATCCCAAAGTTCTGAGCCGAGCTGAGCAAGCTACTCGGCGTTCGAATGCTCGTCTGTCCAGGCCTTCCTAAGATTCGAACCTGCTGCGCAGCGGAGTCCACTCCACTCCACACCCCCTCCTCCTCCCTTGCCGGTATGCCAAGGAGCGCGCCCGTCGACTCGAGTCGCCCTGCCTCTGCCCCCCTCGCTCTTCGGCAGGAGGGGCAAGGAGGAGCTGCAGGAGGGCGCGGGGGCGCAGGAGGAGGAGCTCGGGGGGGATCAAAGGGCAGGACGGGAGACAAGGCAGGAGCTGCAGGAGGAGAGCGGTGAAAGGCAAGGACAGGAGAGGTAAAACAGAGCTAGGATCGGGATAAATCGCTCCAGAGCGTTCCAGAGCGCTATCAGAGCGTTCCGAAACGCTCTGGAGCGGCCGCGGCGCCCAATACATCCTCCAAACCCGCCGATTCTCAGAGATTTCGAGTTATCCCGATCCGCTGTTGTCCCGATCTTCGCGTCGTTTTAAGAGGGCAGGAGCTGCAGGAGCAGGGCTGGGGGGGAGGAGCAGAAGCTCGGGGAAGACGAAAGGGTAGAACACTAAAGGGCAGGGCAGAGAGTCAGCTCACGCAGCCGGGCTCTTCTGGCGCCTCCCGGCGCGCGAGGCGCGCCCGTCGTGGCGAGGACGGGGCCCGGCGGCGGGGCGGAAACCGACGGCACGCAGCAGATTCCGCCACCGGCGGCGGGGCGGACTTCGCACCCCCCTCTTCCCTCCTCCTCCTCCCTCCTCCTCGTGCTGTTCCTTCCTCCTCCTCCTCCTCCTCCTCCTCCTCCTCCTCCTCCTCCCTCCTCCTCCCTCCTCCTCGTGCTGTTCCTTCCTCCTCCTCCTCCTCCTCCTCCTCCGCCTCCTCCTCCAGGACAGGGGCAGCCGGAGCATCTGCGCAGCATGACGTGCGGAGGCGGGCTGGACGGCGGCCGCCAGCATACCCAGGGAGGGCCGAGAAGGGCGGGGGGGACGCGGGGGGGGGGGGGGCAGGGACGAGGGGGGAGGGTCGTCTCTCCCCCCTCGTCGTTGCTGTGGCCTGGAATAGGATGTGCAGAAGTGCAGGGGCCTGGAATAGGCCGGCGCGGGCAGGCTGGGGCCCCCCGGGTCGCAGATGTGCAGAAGTGGTGGTCGTTGCTGTGTGTGGCGGGGAGGGGAGGGAAGGGAGGCTGAGGAGGAGGAGGGGGGAGAGGAGGGCAGGAGGAGGGAAGCCGTGGAAGGAGCAGGGTGGAGGGGAGGGGGGGAGGAGGAGGGGAAGGGAGGAGGGGGGGAGCTGTGGAAGGCGGGGAGGGAAGGGGAGGCGGAGGGAGGCCGACCGCCGGGCGACGGCGGTGGCCACGAGACCCCCTGCGGCGCGGCGCGGGCCGTCCTGCAGCTCTTGCACCGCACGATACCCCCCGAGGAGGTGTACGGCACCGTGGGCACCCCCAGAGGCTCGGTGCCCTCCTGGGGGGGGGGGGGGGGGGCTCGAGCGAGGACGAGGAAAACAGCAAGCGAGGATACATCGAGAAGCTCTGAGATGCGGCGGCTCTGGAGGATGCCTCGGGCGCCGCGGCCCTCTCGAAGCGGCCAAGGGCGCCTCGGGCGCTCAGAGCGCTGCAGAGCGCTCTGAGCGCGTTCCGCAACGCTCTGGAACAGACTGATCCTCGTCCGAGCCCCGTCCAAAGCCAGGAGGAGGAGGAGGAGGAGGAGGAGGAGGAGGAGGAGCCAGGAGGGGGAGGAGGAGGAGGAGGAGGGTCTCCTGTCGGTGCGCACACGGGGGTCGGGGGGGCGGGGGAAGGCCTCTTGGAAGGCGGCTGCTTCTCCGAAGGCGCTGGCCCTTCGCCCGCAGACCAGGCCCGCGCCTTCTTGAGGGGCAGGGGGTGCTTCTGAGGAGCCTTCCCCCTCCCCCGGCTTCCTGTCTGCACGCGGCCGAGCCTCGTGGGGAGGAGGGCGAGCGCGAGCGCGAGCGGGCCGCCGTGCCCTCCACAAAGCCCGGGCCCTCTCGGGGCGGGGATCCGGCTGGGGCCGTGGCCCCCCACAAACTCTGCGCGGGGGCCCCGCGGCAGCGGCGTCCGTTGTTCCGGGCCGGGCTCGACCTAGACTTGGCCTTGGCCTCGTTCTCCGTTCCCGTCTTGGCCTCGTTCTCCCGTCTTGGCCTTGGCCTTGGCCTTGGCCTTGGCCTTGGCCTTGGCCTTGGCCTTGGCCTTGGCCTTGGCCGTTCTCCGTTCCCGTCTTGGCCTTGGCCCTAGCTTTCCGTTCCCGTCTCGGCCTCGTTCTCCCTTCACCTTTGTCTTCCCAGAATCAACACGATAGCGGCCCACGAAGTCGCACACCGCCTAGGGTCAGGTCGGGCATGTTCCCCTGCAGGCGGCTTTTGGGCGACAGATGCTCCCAGAATGCCCCAGACTGGTCCAAAAATGCCCCCCCAAAAAATATACACACCAAAAATGCTTCGACAATCGCCAAACAACCACTAACAAAAATCGTCCCCTGACCATTTGTTGGCTGCTTTTGGATGTTCCTCCTGTAGAGGGGCAGGCCCGACTTAAGCCTGGGCCGACCCCTGGTTCTGGGCTGCCTGCGGCGTCCAAGCCACTCGCGTCTCCGTGGCGTCGCCCAGCACAGTCTGCTGCGGCGGGGCTTCGTCAGGTCGGTGGGCGTGGGAGCATAGGGTTAAGTCGGGCGTGTCCCCCTACAAGATGGCTTTCAGCGAAAAATTGAAAATATTTTAAAAAAAAAAAAAACTCAAGAATGGTCAAAACACATTCAAACATGATCAAAGCATAATTAAACATACTGAAAGACTGGTCTGGCGTCGCAGCTTCTTCGCAGCAGGCTTCGTGGATCTTCTGACAAGGGTCAATCCAGGCCTGGGTCAGTCAGGCCTTGCAAAATGCTGCAAGACCCCGCGAGGTCCTGCACCCAAGCCCGGGTCAATGCGAAGGATCCTGCAAGATCCTTCAGGATCCTGCACCCGAGCCCGGGTCAGTGCGACCCTGGCTTTGCAGGATCCTGCAAGATCCGGCGCTCTGGCTGACCCCCGTTTGCATGGACCCCCGTCCCTTGAGCCCCGAAGGCTATTCTTGGCCCTGTACCGGGCCAGGTATAGCCTGCTGCGACGAAGCCCTGTATAGCCCGTTGTATTGGCCCTGCATCGGCCCTGTATGGCTCTGAATCTTGTCCCGGATGAAAAAACTGCGGGGTCCAGGGTTCCGATCGAGATGTCTTGCAATGTGTTCGTGACGTCGGATCTCAGGGGAGGGGGGCGGGAGAGGGAAGGGGAGCAGCTGCGCATCGTTCAAGCAGCTGCGCCTCGTCGAAGGCTTTCCGGGGTGCTGGGATCGTCCCGAGCGGCCTGCAGAGGCCCGAGTTATGGCCGACAACCACCAGGCGTCGAAGTGGGTTGGGTGGGCGGTGGCTGTCCCACTTCTTCCCTTATCACCTGTCTCTCTTCCCATGTTCTCCTCATCCTCCTCCTCTTCCTCCTCCTCCTCCTCCTCCTCCTCCTCCTCCTCGCCGATCCTCCCTCCACCCTCTCTTCTTCTCCACCCCTCCCTTTCCCCAAATGCTCCCTCCGCTTGAAACCTCCAGCTGCTGCTGGATTTGATCCCCCATCCTACGGCGGAAGACGGGGAAGAGGAGGTGGAGGAGGGGAGGAGGAGGAGGAGGAGGAGGAGGAGGAGGAGGAGGAGGGAGAACGGGGGAAGGTGGGCGGTGGAGGAGGAGGGGGAGCAATGCTGCGCTTGTTCGCCGAGTGGATCGTGTCAGCCAGCACGAAGGAAGGATGAGAGGAAGGGGTGGGGGGGTGGGGGCGACCACGAGGGATGAGGAACCAGCTGCTGCTCCCCCTCCTCCTTCTCCTCCTCCTCCTCTTCTGCCCTATGCTCCTCCTCCTCCTCCTCCTCCTCCTCCTCATCCTCATCCTCCTCCTCATCATCATCATCATCATCATCATCATCATCATCATCATCATCATCATCATCATCAGCATCATCATCATCATCATCATCCTCTTCCCTTCCTCTTCTTCCTCCTCCTCATCTTCCTCCTCCTCCTCCTCCCTTGTGGTCGCCCCCCCCCTCTCTCAGCCCTCCTTCGCGCTGCCGAACATGATACGCTCGGCGAGCAACACAACCAGTCGTCTATCATCCACCCTCCTCTCGCCTCCATCATCCACCCTCGTCCCTCCGCCCCCCACCCCCCCCGGCCCCCCCTCGCCCCTCCCTCCCCTCCCTCCCTCCCTCCCTCCCCCCCTCCCTCCTCCTCCTCCTCCTCCTCCTCCTCCTCCTCCTCCTCCTCCTCCTCCTTTCCCTTCCTCCTGCTCCTCCTCCTCCTCCTCCTCCGTTCCCTTTCTCCTGCTCCTCCGCCTCTTCCTCCTCCTCCTCCTCCTCCTCCTCCTCTTCCTCCTCCTCTTCCTCCTCCTCACCGCGGGGATCGTTCAACCTTGAACGATCAGCCGTTTCCGCAACGTCCGATCGTTCGACATCGACCGATTGTTGGCCGCCGCCGGCATTCAACGTTGAACGCGGGCGGCAGGGTCACCGCCAATCGACACGATACGAACCTGCTGTATATGTTTCGCTGCCCTGCCGCGTGCTTTGATGATGAGCGGTCCACTGAACCCTCTTTGATGATGAGCGGGCCTTCTCTTTCACATCATCTCCAGGCCGCCTGCATAATTTCCTTCATATGATCAACGAAAAACACGCACACACTCAAACCTATAGGGAGGATGAATGAGGAAGACCAAGGCGACGAACGCGCTATAGGTGTGGGTGCGAGCTGTCGGGCCCCGAGGGCGGTTCCCGCTCGAGCGGCGACCCCGAAGGCGGTTCCCGCTCGAGCGGCGACCCCCATCCGACAACATGAGCCCCTAGCTCCCCCAAGAGTTCCACCCGAAGAGTTCTAAGCGACATATAGGTATGGGCGTTAGTTGCCAGCTCGTGATTTACAGTCGGCCCGTATCCAAAGGACGGACGATGAGGATGCAAGGGCCTTGGAGGGCCATTTCGTTGCTTTTCGAGCGGCGCGCGGCCAACCAAAGTGGCCCAGAATGGACCGAGGAAGCAAGGATGCAAGGGTACCCTTGTGGGAGAAGAAGAAAAACAAGAACCGGCACAAACATAAACTGTTGGCGCTCCGCGCGGATTTCTTGGATCTGTGTCGGACGCCCCTCACTGCCTCGCGGAGCGCAGCAGGGGCGGCGCTAGAGGCGCCGCCGTGGGGGCCCGGCGCGGATCCAAGAGATCCGCGCGGAGCGCCAAAGAGTTACTGTTTATGCCGTGATTTCTTCGACCGCTTCGGGGGAGGCGGTCTTGAGGCACTGGAAGGCCCCCCCGCTGGAGGATGAGGTCCGTGTCCGACGCCCTGGGTGAGGAGGAGGAGGAGGAGGAGGAGGAGGAGGAGGAGGAGGAGGAGGAGGAGGAGGAGGGAGGAGGAGGAGGAGGAGGGAGGAGGAGGAGGAGGGCGGGTCCCGCATTGTTTTTTGATGGTCTCGAGGCCCAGCAAGGGCCACCGGAGGCCGAGCACAACGAGAAACCTCCCGTCGTGATTTGTTTCATGACGCGAGGGGGTCTGGGTAACCTTGTTGAGCAGGGATCGGCCGTCCTGGCATTCCTGCAGGCATACCACGACATGTTCTTAGAACCGAAGTAGTGTTCTAGGATCTGAAGCAAATGTTCTTAGAGCATGAGCCCGATGCGTCAAAACACCACGGTCCCAACCAGAAGTGTTCTAAGAGCATTTCGTTGAAACCACAACAGGTTTTTTAGAACATTCTTCGGTAGGCCCATGGGCGAGCCAGGACGCTTTGCCACTGCTTGACCTTGGGAAGGTGGCCCGTCCTTACTATGCGGGTCGACTGTATGGTCCGCACTGTCGTCGCCGTCGCTGGCGCGAGTGCGCGAACATGGCCGCGTGTCGCGCTTCGCGCCGCGCGTTGTGCGCCAGCGTGGAACGTCAAGATCCCTCGGCCTCCAGCTCTCTCGAACCCGGGTCTCACACCTCTGCTCCCTTCTCCTCCCTCCCTCCCCCTCTTCCTCTCTCCCTCCCTTCCACTGCCCATCCCTACCGTGCGGGCTGACTGTCTTGCCCGCACTGTCGCATCATTCTCAGGCGGGTGGCGGCCCTCGCCGCCGCGGTGCGGGGCCTCGGGGAATCGGCCCCGAGCTGGGCGTCGAGCTGGCCGGCCAGCCGAGGAAGCCAGGAAGAGGAGGCGGGCCGGAGGGACGAACGGTGCGGCCCGCAGAGGTGCGGGGCGCGAAGAGGAGGAAGAGGAAGAGGAGGAGGAAGAGGAGGAGGAGGAGGAGGAGGAGGAGGGAGGAGGAGGAGGAGGAAGGAGGAGGAGGAGGAAGGAGGAGGAGGAGGAGGACACGGGGCACGGTCGTCTCCAGCGCTTCGCTGCGTCGGCCGTGCTCCCTCGGCTCTGTGCGGCTGGCCGCAGGGGGCCGCCAGGGCGGGGCCTCCCCTCCGCGGGGGAGGCCCGCGGCCGGCCGCAGGCCCTCCGGGCGGGAGCCATTGGGCAGGACGGCGCGGAGGCTGCTGCAAGGCAGTGCCGAGGCCGACCAGCTCTTCACTCCTCCTCCTCCTCCTCCTCCTCCTCCTCCTTCCTCCTCCTGTCCTCCTGTCCTCCTGTTCCTTCCTCCTCCTCCTCCTCCTCCTGTTCCTCCTTCCTCCTCCTCCTCCTCCTCCTCCTCCTCCTACTCCTTCTCCTCCTTTCTCTTCCTTCTCCGTCGTCGTCCTCCTCCTCCTCCTTCTCCCTCCTCCTCCTTCGTCCTTCCTCCGTCCTTTCCTTCCCTCTCCTCCTCCTCCTTCCTTTCATTCCTCCTCCTCTTCCTCCTTCTCATTCCTCTTCCTCCTCCTTCCTTTCCTTCCTCCTCCTCCCTCCTCCTCCTTCCCTCTCCTCCTTCTTCCTCCTTCCTCCTCCTCCTCTTTTTCCTTCTACTCTTCCTCCTCGCTTGTCTCCTCCTCCTCCTCCTCCTCCTCCTCCTCCTCCTCCTCCCTTTTCCCTCTGGGACTTCTCCCTCCTCTCCCCTCTCCCCCAGCGCGGGCGCAGGGGGGGCGAGGAGGGTGTGTCTGCATGTATTTGACGATCCTGCAGGGCCTCCTTCTCGTCCGCCTTCTCCACACCCCATCCTCGCCCCCCTCCACCCTCTCTCCGTGGATGGCTCCATCCCCTCCCGCCCGAGGCTCACGCCGAGCATCTCGCAGGACAGGGCCCGCAGCGAAGCATCCGCACGCCGCGAATGCCTGCTGGGGGCGCATCCAGAACCTACACTGAGTGGTCTTTTCGGGGCCTCTCGGGCCATTAGGGGGGCCTCTTGGGAGCCTCTTGGGCCGTCTTGGGCCGGTCTTGGGGGCCTCTTGGGCCGTCGTCAACGCCGTGAAAGGCGAAAAGCCGTATATGCTAAAAATGTACGTTTTCCTATCGAAAATCAATGGTTCTGGCCTCTTGGGGCCCACTTGGGACGCCCCTTGGGCGGCCTCTTGGGGGCCTCTTGGGCAGGACGCCGAGCAGCTGCCGTGCGCGCGCGCGGCTGCGTGCCCTCGGGGCTCCACGGAGCTCGGTCGGCCCCTCTCGTCCACGGGGAGCGGTGGGAAGGCACCGGCCGAGGGGGGGACGAGCCAACAACACACACCCATACCCACAGAGAGGTCGGAGAGGGCTGTGGGTGCGTGTTGTCGGATGGGGGTCCCCGCTCGAACGGTAGCGTTCCCCAGGGTCCGACACCCCGCACCCATACCCATAGCCAGTCCTCCTCCCAACGACCCCCCTATGGGTATGGGTGTGTGTTGCTCGTTCGTCAGAGGGGGGGACACATCGAGTTTCTATCGGCGATGCATCGCTGATAGCTAGGCGATCGGTCTCCGATGCCGAGCCCACAAGTTCCCGTGCGTCGGGGGGGGGCTACCACTAGGTCGGGCACGTCCTCCTACAATACTCCAAACCATTCAACAACTACTCGAAACATCGTCCCCAGACGATGTTTGACTATTCCTCCTGAAGAGGGACAGGCCCGACTCAAGGCTACGAGGCCCCTGGTCGGAGATGAACGGGCGATTTCTGGGGGGTGGACGCAGTGCCCCGTGAGCCGCTCTCCCCTCCCGAAGTAACGTTGCCCCTGCCTGGGGGTCGTGTCGGGGCCCTCTGTAAAGCACACACAAGCGGGGTCCAGCTGAAAGGGGGTGGTGCAACAGATGGGGGGGAATTGTATTGCAAACGTATGGCGCTGGAGAATTGTGCCGCATCGCACTGCAAAATAATGTATTGCATCCGGAAGGTCCAGCAATACATCTGCGGCCCGGCTTGTATTGCACGCCCGGAAGGTATTGAACCCCACATATATATATATATATATATATATATATATATATAGATATATATATACACACGTATACATATATACATATATATATACACATACATATATACTAGAACCATCGCGCGCGCTTCGCGCGCGCTCAAGTTCTAGCCCAGGCCGGGGGGCGCTGGAAGATCTTGGACAGCGCTATCAAGCACAGGCGCGTGACATAGTCGTGCCTCCGGAGGGCCTCTTAGGGACCTCTTGGGTCTTCGTGGGGGCATCTGAAGGGCTTCTGGGGGGTTCTCCGTGCTTCCTCAGTTTGCTTTTGGAGGCACCTTTTGGTTGCTTCTTGAGGGGGCGTCTTATTGGGGTCCCTTGGGAACATCGTCGGCGTTCTCCGGGCAGTCGGAAGGTGATGTTCTGCAATCTGAAGCCGTCATTGGCTGTCTTGGCTGCGTGGAGGCCCGACTTGAGGGCGCCTGGGGCCACACTGAGGCAATCCCGAAGCCTCCTCCCGGGGACCTCCTGCAAACAGTTTTGATGCATCGAAGGCACTGTTGGGCAATCTTTGTGCCCTTTGTACGTCTCCTTGGGCCTCTTGGGGCCACTTGGGAGGCTTATGGGGGCCTCGTCGGACCACTTGGGGACTCTTGGGGCCTTCTCTGGGCCTCTCCGGGCGGAAGACTCTGCTGTTAGGTTCGCGTTCCCATTCTTGGGCCTCCCTTGGGACCGTTTTGGGGCCCTCTCGGGCCGTCTTGGGCGCCTCAGGCACCGTCTTGGGGCCTCGTGGGCCGTCTTGGGGCCCTCTTGGATGCCTCTTCAACTATCGTAGAGCGATCTTGGGGGCCTCTGGAGGAGGAGGACGAGGAGGGGAAGGAGGAGGGAGGAGGGGGAGGAGGGAAGGAGGAGTGGGAGAAGGAGGGAGTGGGGGAGGAGGAGGAGGAGGAGGAAGGGGTGGGGCAGGAGGAGGAGGAGGAGGAGGAGGTTGGAGGACGAGCAGGAGGAGGAGGAGGAGAAGCAGGAGGAGGAGGAGGAGGAGGAGGAGGAGGTGGAGTAGTAGTAGGAGGAGCAGGAGGAGGAGGAAGAGGAGGAGGAGGAGGAGGAAGACGAGGAGAGGAGAAGGAGGAGGTTGAGGAGGTGGAGGAGGAGGAGGAGGAGGAGCAGGAGGTGGAGGAGGAAAAGCAGGTTGAGGACGAGGAGGGGGAGGAGGAGGAAGGGGTGGGGGAGGAGGAGGGGGGTGAGGAGGAGGAGGACGAGGTGGAGGAGGAGGAGGAGGAGGTGGCGCGACGTTTACCAAGGAGCGGAGGGGGGAGGAAAGGCAGGAGGAGGAGGACACGAAGGAGGAGGCAACCTAGGGAATCATGGGCTCCAGAGCGTGCGTTCGGTGTCCTCGCGGTGCCGCGCGCGGTCACGCTGACCGATCAGTCACATCTGCTTGGCTATGGGGAAACATCGCCAGTCGCAGTGGACATCGCCCACGGAGTTCCACGCGATCTTGGAGGCCCAGATGGCGAGCATGCGATCTAAGTCGGATGGCTGGATGACGTGCGGACGCGCGAACAGGGAGTCGCAGAGGGCCAGAGTGTTGCTAGTACTGGGAGCGTTCGAACAGGAAGGCGCAGAGATCACGACGAACCAATGGCCACCGCTCATGGGGCCGCGGAACAGGTATGCGTGCGGACGGAAGAGGCCTTTTGTGGACGTGTGGTCGTCAAAGGGGGAGCCCAAACGGTGCTGCAGATCGTGGGGTGTCAGCGGCAGCATGGAGAGGTCGGCGCGCGTGAAGTTGCATGATAGTACGGCCACGTCGTAGTTGCCACTGTGATCCTCAAGCAGGTGCTCGATGCGGTCCCCAATGCGGGCTGCGAGGGCTGTCTGCTCAAACCGCGTCTGGTCCACAGGTGTGAATGGACGATGGGTAGAGAGAGATGCTGCGGCAAGCGCGTGGTTGAAGGCATGGAGGCCGCAAGTGCTGCCTCGCTGCGTTCCCGCGGCGGTCGTCGCACCGGTCTGCGGCGCATTGTACCACGTAGGGGTCGAGTCGAACGGCCAGAGCGGCTCTGGGGAGGGAAGTCCAGTATCGTGAAAGAGAAGCCACGGAGGAGGGCCACGGGTGAGCTGTCGGGCACGCTTGGCGAGCGGACCGATGGTTGCGTCGCAAGATTCCGTAGGCCTGGAAGCGGGGGTTCCGCGTGGCACTGTGGAACATGGGGGCGGTGGCCGGACAGACATGCAGTTGGTGGTCGCCGAACGAGGTGCGGACGATGTAACTTCTGCAGCGGGCGTCTCAGCGGGAGGCGGCGGGCTTCCCTCTGGAGGGCGCGGCGCACGGCATCTCCGCGCGCGCTTCGCGGGGGGGGCCGGTGAGTCGCAATTGGGCGTGAGCACTTCGTGGGTCACTGTGTATGGGTGGGCGGCCGTCTCGTCGAAGGTGTCTTGCGCGGTGGCGTGGTGCTTAAAATACGCTGCGTACATGCCGTGCAGCTCCGCGCCGGACTCTCGTTCGTTGTCAAGAGTGCGTGCCGGCTCGCACGATGTGGTCTCGTGCAGGGCAGGAACTTCTTGCGTGGCGGTGGTCGCGACGTCTGCCTCTTTCGGTCGGGGTGCCTGGCCGTCCTCCCTGCGATCTACGTCCACACTCTCTCGAGCGGCGCTACTGTCATGGCCGGGTGCGCGCGCTGCCTGCAGCAATGACGCGTCTACGATGTTGGTGGTGAATGCACGTGCAGGACAACTCCCCGTAGGTGGCATGAGGCCTTGCTCCGTCTGATGCGTCTCTTCTACCAAGACCATCGTTGCTTCAAAGCTAGATCCTCGAGAGATGGCAACATAGAGTTGGCCGTGCGCGAAAACGGGCCGCGGAAGATAGACTCCCAGACGACCTTGCAGGGACTGGCCTTGCGATTTGTTGATGGTAATGGCCCAGGCCGGTTTCACGGGGCATTGATGTCTTCGGAGGACAAAAGGGAGTTCGCAATCGCCACAGGACTCGCAACAAATCCGCGGGATGAGCTCGACGTTGCCTGCGAATGGGCCCGTGACTATACGGACGACGAGGAAGTGCGACCGCAGTGTTTCTACAACCAGCCGCGTTCCGTTGCACAGGCCGCGGTGCGGGGCGAAGTTCCGAAGGGGGATCACCAAGGAGCCGCTGCGCAAGCGCAACTTGTGCGGCGGGAGTCCAGCTGTTTGGATGCTGTTGAGAAACTCGGTGGTGTAGGTATCACCGTGATCCACTTCGGCGATGGCCACGTC